AAATCAATTTTTTCACTCTGTTGTCAATTACACAACTTATGTAATGAAATATTAAATATATATTGTTATTTTGTTTTGCAAAGGTGTCATATAATCCCGTGAGGGGTGGGCAACTAGGTGGCATGACACTAAAAAAAAATAAAATCATTCATACACACAGGTCCGAACACACACATGCACAAACAGGACCTATACATGCACTAAGTGGAGAGATGTCAGAGTGGGGCTGCCCATAGCGGCTGGGGGGTTCGGTGCCTTGGTCAAGGGCACCTCGGCAGTGCCCAGGAGGTGAACTGGCACCTCTCCAGCTACCAGTCCACGCTCCATATTTTGGTCCGGACAGGGACTTGAACAGGCGACCCTCCGGTTCCCAACCCAAGTCCCTATGGACTGAGCTACTGATGCTGTCTTTGAAATATGAATAAGTTAATAAGTAATTTATTCCATTGAAATATTATTGATGTATTATAGAAAAGTGATTTATCTTTTTATAAATGACAAAAGGCACATCTGCCTAATTTGTGCTGTGGTATCGTGATACTACTCAGAACTGTGATACTTTCACTGGTATTGTACTGTGGGTCCCAATTTTGGTACCGTGACAACACTACTGTGCAGTCAGTCTGTATTGCACTGAGGTTCTTTGCTAGCGGTACATTCCTGTATAGTGTTGGTGATGCTGAGAGACTTAATAAGGCAACTGTTTGCAGAGAGGTAAAAAGGGTGTATTTTCTGTTCATTTTTATTATTTCTAGCATCGCCATACATCATGCATAGGGCTTGAGATGATTACATTAACATATGGTTATCTTTTATATCTATGAATTAACCATGACACAAAGCAACCAAATTAAAATGGGACACACACCATTGTGGATTGTCTGTTCCTCATCCTATAGCACATTACATACATTAAAGGGGATTTTCCTTATTTTGATATAATAAGGGATAGAGCTTACAGTTGACTCCCAAATGATGAGAAATAGATAACTGATTCACTCTCACCTGCATTCACTTAATTCACTCTCCACTGAATTGATGGATTTGCTAAATGTCATTTTCTACAATCAATAGATAAATGTCATGTGATTATTTCCTATAAACTGATCATTTCAGAAATGTCATAATCTACAATCAATTATGTGATAAATGCGATGATTCACATAAAATAGTTTGACTAAATGCATCATCTGAAATTTACATAGGAATCAGCAGATAAATGTGATAAATAGTCTATAACTAATATTAATTTACACATTTGGTGAATTTCGTTAGGCATACTTGAATTGTTAGATTTAATAGGTGTTCTTATCTACATATATTTTGTCCCTTTGATGCGGGATTTATATAACATGATATGCTGAAATGCTGAATTTTCTTCGTCACTTGCGCATTTAGCCTGTCGGCAATAATCTGCCACGCCACCTCCCTTACTTTATTAATTGCTGCAGTATTACCTTTTTCCTTAATTATGTCCTTATAGTCCTCATACACTTCCATAAGGAGCGTTTGCTCCGCCGCAGAAAAGGCCTCCACTTGCTCCTTTCCTTTGCTTTTTGACATTTTGCAACATTTTCGGCACTCGACTAGTGTGGGCTTTTTATTTTCCCTGGGTGCGTGTATGAGTTGAGGCTTAACAGGTGAGGCTTGAATTAGCGTCAGTTGGAGCCAGCTGATTTCACTTGATGCAACGGGTTGGCGCTAGATTGGGAATTGGTGTTTAGTCAAACTTCAAGCTTACACCTTAGCCTGGATATCCTTAGCTATGTTGATGGAATACCCCCGTGCAGACAGAGGTGAGGAGTAGGGATGGGCAAACGATCAAAATTCATTATTCGATCATCAAAAAAATTAACGATCAATTATCAATTAATTGATAAGCGAGTATTTCAAAAGAGAGAAAAGAAAAGAGTGCAGTGTATACTGTCGCCGCAAGAGAGCACATCTGCCCCAGTTTTGAGCTTCAACCCCCCAGGCCAAAGAGGAAGAATGGCGCGCATGCGCAGTTCACCCCTGGGTGTTTACAACCGTTGCCAGCCAGAGTTACAGGCTTCAGTTTTCAGCAAAACCTCCGTCTTTCAATGGCGTAGTGTTTTCAGAGGCCTCAAGGGAAGCCGCCGAGGCTTTGGAGAGCGATGAGAGCCTCCGTCTGTTTCTGATTTTTTTTTTTTTTTGCCTGGCATAGGTCCAGCAGGAGTCTCGTAGGCCCGTCGAGCCGCCGTGCTCGCCAGGTGGGGGGTCTAGTTGGCATGGTGGCTCGCTGGACCTATGCCAGGCATTGTAGGGGAAACACTGTGACTGTCGATCAAAATTATTTGTGATCGATCAAAAGCCTTAACAGTCAATCATCGATAATCGAAAATTGATGCCCATCCCTAGTGAGGAGAGTCCCACATCACACGGCATGTTTGAGGAGTCGAAACGAACCAGTAGGAGGAAAAGGCCTACAGTATTGTACGTGTGCTACTGTGGTAACTTCATTCATCTCACAGACTGATTCAGCATAGCTTGTGCAACATATAGACCGATGTAGCACTGTAGACTAACAAACAGACAGATTAAACAGATAAGCAGCTCTGTGTCTCATTGAGTGTTGATGGAGAAATAGTGAGTGAGTGAGTGAGGCGGAGCTGTGCGGAGAGGAGAGATGAACACTGGTATGCATTATGTGACGCAACTTCACCCGATATCGATATAAACAGTATTGTATAAATCTACATCTTGCTTGAAAATAAATCAATATATTGTACAAAATCAATATACCGCCCAGCCCTGATCCATAATATCATCAAAAGATTCAGAGAATCTGGAGAAATCTCTGCATGCAAGGGACAGGGTTGAAAACCAACATGGCCATGACCTTTCACCCCTTAGTCACCACTGCATTAAAAACCAATATGACTGTATAAAGAATATTACTACATGGGCTAAAGAGCATTTTGGAAAACCATTGTCAGTAAGCACTGTTCATCTCTGCATCTACAAATGCAAGTTAAGACCCTACCATGCAGAGTGAAAGCCATATATCAACAACATCCAGAAACACTGCCAACTTCTCTGGGCCCGACCTCATCTGAGATGGACTGACACAAAGTGAAAAAGTGTGCTGTGGTCTGACAAGTCCATTATGGGCGTTGTGTCCTCCAGGCTAAAGAGGAAAAAGACCATCTAGATTGTTACCAGCTCAAAGTTCAAAGACAGCATCTGTGATAGTATGGGGGTGTGTTAGTGCCCATGGCATCATTGGTAACTTCACATCTGTGAAGGCACCACAGTGTTTCCTCTAGGATTTTTTTTCAGCAGAGGGGGTGGCGGGGGAGGGGGTGAGAGACATCCCTTGGCTGAATACCGAGTACTGAATACCGAATGCCGTTTTTAAGTTTTTCATTAGTTTTTGCAGATGAACCCCCTCCAGATTAGTGTTGTCACGGTACCAAAGTTGGGACCCACAGTACGATACCAGTGAAAGTATCACGGTTCTGAGTAGTATCAGGATACCACAGCAAAAATGAGGCAGATGTGCCTTTTGTCATTTATAAAAAGATAAATCACTTTTCTATAATACATCAATGATATTTCAGTGGAATACATTACTTATTGACTTATTCATACTTCAAAAACAGCATCAATAAGTGATTAACATAGGGGGGATCAAAATAAATAAATGAAATAAAAATCAACCAGCCCCCCCGACAAGTCCCTTCATAAGTAAAGAACAGTCCCTAAAGTGCGGTGAGGTTTGTGGGCCGTTACCTGCCACGAAGAGAGAAATGTCAACGGCTCGTTTCTCCTCTGACACGTCACATACTGTATGCCACCTTTACGCACCCACACAACTGTAGCCTAATTATGCATGTGTCACGTAACCTCAGGTCAGTTCAGTTCAGGTCAAAGAGCAGCACGGAGCACAGAGAAGTAAGTCAAGATCATGTCAAAAAGTTTACTGCAAACGAAGTGGCAAATATTATCTTGGAGGACATCATTGCACTCGGTTGACTATTTTTCTATTAGATGCAAATATTGTATGTTTCACACATTTTTGATTTGTGAATGAGTCAGTGGAATTTCTTGCAATAATTAAAAAATACTGGCAATTATGTCCGCCTGGCACAAACCACATGTTTTGGACAACTGGGAAGTGACAGAATGTCCCACCATCATGGTTTTTATATTGCCAGATTCTACTTCCAACTTGCTTATCTTACATTTATTAAAAAAAAAGAGAGAGAGAGACAGACAGACAGACAGAGAGACAGAGAGACTATGTGCATGTGATATGTGTTGCAAAGGGTCTGGATTAATGCAGAGGATGTTTAGTTGCATGCAAGACTGTCTGAGAACAGCATTTGCAAACAAACCTCACTTAGCTTTGGCGAAGCCAACTAACCAATGACCTAACTGGAAACAATCAGAACAATGACTCAGTAAACAGCAATAAATCACATTCAACAAGTTAAACAGTCTTGCTTAGCCTGTACAGCTGTGATTAAGCTATGCTCAGAGTCGCTTTGTGGTGTGCTGCTTTTGTTAGCCGGCAGAAGAAGGCTGAAGAGAGAGCTGTGGTTCCAGAAGCAGTCTTTGTTGTGTCCTTGTTCCAGTTGCAGATCTGAGGAAGCCGGTCGCTCGGGGTCTGTGCAGAGTAAGATGTTGGGATGCTAACTCAACTTGGTTCCCCTTGTTGCTGGAAAGTTAGATGCAAACCTTGTGTTTGCAAACTAATTACTCTGGTTTCCAAGTTTTGGCTCCTGCTGTGGGCATGCAGGTCATGATCCAGGAAAAGAGTCTGTGAGCAATTGCAATTGACTGTCTAATAACTCTTTGTTGAAGAACAAAGAACATGAGGTCTCTTACCAGTTCAGATGGCAAGAGGAGAAGCCTTCACATGTCCAGTTTAGATTTTAACAACTGACAAATCATCTGTGGTCCAGTGAATCCCAATAATAGTGTCCCAACCTTTAGGCAAAAACTGTAAAATGCAGACTTTGCCAAAAGGTGGATGCAATTTATAAAATAAATAGGGGTTTTCCTATCAGTATACACATTTCTTCACAGCCACAAAAGCACTGTGCTGGTATGTTTGTTTGTCATTTTTGGGCAAGCTACATCTCTCTTCTGCTCTCTGTGTCAGTGTTTTACTGAGGGCTTATCTCAGCTCCTTCACACACACCTACAGGGCTACTGACACCGGGGGAACACCTGGCCAGTGGCTGCAGAGACTTTGCTTTGCACTGCCTGTACTGTGTTTAGCGGAAGCTGGTTTGACCACAGAGATGCAAGTGATGGCTAGCTTGACAGCAGTCTTTTACTTGGTCAGCCAAGCTGTCCTGATGATCAAATCCTGACAATGAGTATTATTTCTTGAATCTGGGAAAAATTAAAACTTAATCTGTAAAAAAAAAAAAAAAAAAAAAGCAGATTTTGTCTATGTGAAGATGCCCTCTCAGAGCCTCAGAGTAGGTCTTTTTCACAGTCAATAATCAATAATTGCGATAAAAGAAGTCAAGACAAGTCATTGCCAGAGCTTACCATTGTCTCTTTTCTTATTTTTTTTTTTTTTTAAAGATTATTTTTGGGCTTTTGCCTTTAATGTACAGGACAGAGTGAAATGGGGAGAGAGAGAGAGAGAGAGAGAGAGAGAGAGAGAGAGAGAGAGAGAGAGCGAGCGGGGGGTTTCCTGAAAAGGATCTCTGGATGTAAAGTGAAAGAAAAAACTTGCAGTGACTCATTGATCATGTTACTTGCAGTGTGTACAGAGCTCATCCCTTCCTCAGCCCACACACTGTGGAAATATGCTGTTTCTTTTGATGTTTGCTATTTTAAAGCACAGTCTGAAAAGCTTCTAACAAAAGTTGTGCTCTTTTTGCAGTGTAACCCCAACCTGCAGGTATTTAACGTGTTCATCGACAACATTGATGAGAGGCTCCCAAGAATTGCATTATTTTCAACACGGGCTATTCGGGCAGGAGAGGAGCTCACCTTTGACTACAGGATGCAAAGTAAGCAAGCAGTAAAATAAACCTGACCAAAAATCTGATCTGTTGTTTGCAGAACTCTACTGTGTCTTGTAACATCAACCAAGTGGCGTTGCTAGTGACAGACAGTGGTGGAAAAATTATTCAGATCCTCTACTTAAATAAAAGCACTAATACCACACTCTTAAAATAGTCCACTACTAGTGTCCTAAGTCCTGCATTCTAAAGGTTCTGTATGCAACATTCGACGTATTAATAAAAAAAACGCTATTTGCTTTGTAAAGATATAGTGGAGTAATGCAGTCACGCTCCCTCTGTGTATTCTAATCACTTCTCTGTGGGTTGTTGTGGTGAGGCGGTCTGGCAGCATGTGTGTATCCCATAGGGGTGTAACAATCCATCAATCTGGGTCGATACATTAATAAATGATCAACGATCCAGTTTGATCGATCTGAAGTAAAAACAGCAATCTATGTTGTCATCTTTAGGAGAGGCTTTTATTTTGAAAGTCAGTGTCACCGTCAAACAGCAGCAGGCAGATGGCAAGCAGCTGAGAGGCGGACTATGAGGATAATGTTATTTACTCTGCAATAAATCAGCAGTGTGGAAATATTTTCACTTTCAAAGAAAAAAGGGGGTCAGCAGACAGAGTACATGACATCAGGTTACCTGCCTGGATGGCATCTCACTCTGCTAACTTCTCACTACAGCAGTATTAGCTGCTCTGTTTTAACAATGGTCGCCTGAAAAGACGTGCATGCAGGCCAAAATTCAATCAAGCCATTCTGTCAGGAGATGCAGTGACTTAAACCAATGGTGAGTATGATATAGTATAAATAATTAGGGCTGTCCCCGACTAAGAATTTTCCTGGTCGACCAGTAGTTGTCATTTAGGGCCATTAGTCGACTAGTCACCCGCATGTTTGCGATATTAATTTGATTATTAAATTATATATTTTTGCCGGGGCAACACATGTTTGAGTTCAAGGTCTGACATGTGTAAGTGATTTTTGTGTAATTGTGTAAGTGACATTGTTAACTATGTGCTACATTTCAAAGAAATACAAAACCAAACTACTGAACTTAAATAAATATAGGCCTATTCACACACACTGAGCAAGCCACTTGTTAATTACTCTGTCAGCAAAGCAGTAATGATTGTACTTAGTGGCTAATGGCCTTGTGCTGCTTACATGTTTCAGATGATATGTCATTTTTGTAGTCGACGAATGATGGGTAAATGTTTGCCTGCAGAGTTAATATATCACCTTGGGTTCGTCCTTCACCTTCTCAACATGATCCCACACTTGTGATTTCCTGCCAGACATGTTACTAACTAGCCTGTGGAATAACCGCAGGTACCAGCCCTGTTAATTAGGGGCCGTACACATGCTGCATCTTTAACCACCTAGAAAACACAAGGTTGTGCACTGTGCGCTACTCTTTTGCCTTTCTTGTGCCAGCCTTCAAGAGTGCGGAGGCAGGTTGTGTTTGAGGTTGCTAAGCAACCTTAACAAGCATTGTATAGCCCATTTACCTGAAATCCTGAGTGCAGCTCAGCATCCAATCAAATCTTGCAGACTAATGACCTTTCTGGTCGACTACGGTTTGGTCGACTATTAGGGGACAGCCCTATAAATAGTGCAAGTAGATTGTTAAGTTATGAATGGAGGAAAGTTTGCTGGCCACCAGGCTAATTTATGCAATGTAAACATGCTTGAGCTAATTATGGGTCACTAACAAAAAAACAGTTGAAATGTCTGTAAACATTGACTGTTACTACTGAGCTGAATTTGATACTTTTGTTAAATGATGTTGTTAATCCATGTTTATATCTGTTGGGAGAAGTTTGCCTTCAGGGCTTTATGCCAGATAGACCTTGAAATGAAACAGAATTTGAGTTAAAATTAAAAGATTTCTTCCAGATAGGTCTTTCTGGCAGAAAGCCCTGAGGCTAACTTGCCCCATGTGTTGTTTAATGTGTGTTAGTGGAGTCAGTATAAAGTAAACTTAACTGCATTTACGTGGTTACAGTTAGTTACATAATTTGTGTTGTTTTTATCTTTTACGGCCAAAAGAAAAAAAGAAAGGGCTAGCGGCTTCTTCTGTAACAGACTGAGTTAAATGGGCAGATAATATTGTTTCATATCGATCGCAGGCCCCTGAATTGCACTGTATCAAAATCGTATTGTGGAAATTCTAGCAAAAAAATTGGCAAATATTGTATCATTGTCCAAAGAATGGATGTGATATGATATTGTGATGAAACTAGTGATATATACCCCTAGTAAGTTGCATCTGGCTTCACCTGGTGAAAGCATGGAATCCTCTGGAGAACAAGCTGCAGCTATAATGGCTTATCACAGGAGAACAACTGCTATGCATGGACACTGTTAGCGAAAGCATTCGGGGAGCGCTTTGTCAAGGTGGCAGCAAGACAGCACTGTCCTGTTTAATTTCTGTCCCCACCCAAGCATGATATCTTGCAAGGTAGCCATCACATGCTGCTAACAGTGTGGCCGGGGCTTATCAACACACGGAACTTGTTTCTGTTAATAGCAGTCACTTAAACTTGCTGCACCATTACTAACATTACATCATGCGCCACCAAAAGTTGTTATTCATTCATCTTATATTTTCTGATTCTTTAAACAGCCATATGTGAGAAAATGGCCTAAACTAAGTTAGGGGGTCTATTATTATCATTATCATTATCATTATCATTATTATTATTATTATTACATAGTGGTGATGTGTAAATTAGAGTATTTAAAATATGCCGCTATTACCTGAGAAAGTGATTTAAATATAATTATTCAAATATCACTTAGATGGGTTTTTGATATTAATTTGGGGTAAATTAATTTTTATTTTAAGAGTGCTAAAAAATATTTGGAATAATGATTAGATTAGTTGTTTCATTAATCAACCAATCAAAACAATAATTGTTAGAAATCCTAAGGTGCAGCCGTAATACATATTTACAATGAATAAGCCATACAATTTGTTGTTTGTTTTTTGTTTTGTTTTTTGTTTTCATTTCTTTTCTTTTTTCCATAGAAAGTTTAAATGGGGCTTAGTATGACAGTGGCATTCACACAGTAACACACTGAGGCAGAAGCTTGTCCACCCAAAGGATCAAACACCCAGGCAAAAGCACAGAAATGTAGTGTATGCAGTTCAATTCAGCCAGGAATGCACAGATTTGTGCACTGGGGAGACTAAAGAACCACTCCACAAGCACATGGCACAGCACAGGAGAGCCAGCTCCTCAGGTCAAGGCTCAGCTGTCCGCTTACATCTAAAGGAGGAGGGACACTCCTTCAAGAACAGCATTGTTCACATCTTGTCCAGAAAAGAAAGATGATTTGAAAGAAATGTCAAAGAAGTAGGGTTGGGAATCTCTCTGTGATAGACGATTCGATACGTATCTAGATACACGGGTTACGATACGATTCAAAAACGATATATTTTTAATACAGAAGGATTTGATACGATTCGATACAGTGTAGGCTCGATACGGTTCGATTCGATACGATTCTATGGTTAACATTTGTTGACGTAGACATTAATCATACATTATAAAATAAAGCAGCCAATTCTATAAAAATGACATTCTTACAGTCTTTTCAAATTTGTAAAATACCACATCCCCAAGTATTCATGCTGTATGTCACTGGCAAAAATAAAATAAAAAGACAAACAACAACAAAATCACATGTCAAATGTATTTATTTTTAGACATGGACAAAAAAAGGCTCGCTGAATGAACATCATTTTGTTGGATGGGATCAATATAAAAATGAGAAGAAGTTTTAAACTTTAAGTGAAGTGAACTTTAAGTAAAATTAAAGTGTTTTAAACCTACTTGTTGTGTTGTTTTTATCTTTTACGGCCAAAAGAAANATAAACATAAAGCAGAATAAAATAATAACATGCAATGTAGGGGCAGAATCTGACATCTCCTGTTATTAGTTGATATCATGGACTGTGATGACCAGCAGCTTATCACTGACAGCATGTCAGACTATTTCTCTGTGTTTGCTACACTCTGTGTTTGTCACTTTTCTATAATACATCAATGATATTTCAATGGAATAAATTACTTATTGACTTATTCATACTTCAAAAACAGCATCAGTAAGTGATTAACATAAGGGGGGATCAAATAAAATAAATAAATAAAATCAAAATCAACCAGCCACCCTCCTCCCCTGACAAGTAAAGAACAGTCCCTAAAGTGCGCTGAGGTTTGTGGAAATGTGAACTGCTCGTTTCTCCTCTGACACGTCACATACCTGTGTGCTGCTACGGCTCGGCTGTTCAGGTATTTCTGGGCAGTCATGACACCGACGAAGACTTCTTGGACCTGGAGCCGGGCTTCTCGGTCGCTGGTAAGCCATTATCTTGCGCGGCGGAGCACTATGGCCGCCGTATTTGACAGGAATACGTATTTCTGTCTGTGTCTGTGACCCCCGTTCAACCCACAACCGGCAGGATTCGCCTTTAGTTTCTGCTGCGGCTTGGCTGCTGCCTGGTTTATCCAACCAGCATTGGCTTCTGTTCCTCATCTCCACCAGTCAAGCTGACACTGATGTTTACATCCATTATCGTTGTCAGTAATGCCTGCTACGGTCCGGAGCATGCCACCGGCTCTCGTGTTGTTTTAGAGATGCAAACTGTTAAAGCCAGTCAGCTGATTGCTAGTCTCGCGATACCCGAATCCATGACTCTACAATCAATTCATCTAAGGATTCTTGGCTGATTCATATCGATTGAGGAGGCTGCTACCGATGCAGCCGTATCTCTTGCTTGTCAAACCGGATATCCGGTCGTATCGGTTAATCGTTCCCAACCCTAGAAAAAGCCATCTACGTCACACTCGAACGATTGTTGTTAAACAATAGTTTAACAATAGTATATTGATGTACACTTTAAGATTATTCACTGAACTTGAGCTTCTTAAATTTCAGTTAAGACTGGAAAAAATGAGTTGTAAAAATTTATAACTGTGTGTAAACAGGAACACTTCATCCTTCAGTTTATAACAAACATTCAAAATCACCACAGTTGGAGATACATGGTTTTCACTGGACAGAAAGGGGATAACAAATTGTCATTGAAAAGGTAACTAGCAGCCAAAGGTAGAAGTATAAAGTAGCAGAAAATGGAAATACTCAAGAACAAGTAGCTCATATTTGTACAGTACTTGATTGAATGTGAATGGGTGGCTGTGGCTCAGAGGTGGAGCATGTCGCTCCACCTCTGAGCCACAGCCACCCATTCATATCACATCACAGCTTGATGGGTGTACCACCGGTGTGCAAAGCCATCTGAGTAGCAGGTGGCACACTTGTATGGTAGCCTCGGCCACCAGTGTGTGAATGGGTGAATGTGACATGTAGTGTTAAGGGGCTTTGAGTGGTCGGAGGACTAAAAAAAGGGCTATACAAGTGCACTCCATTTACTTAGTTACTTTACAGCACTGATGACAGGAAGCAATGGAAGAAGTGGCACTGATATTGATACTGATTTTCTTTCAAGCTTATCAGTTCATATGCTGACAGAACATCCAGGTCCATACAGGGGCGGAAAAAGCCAGACACAGGCCTCAACTGTATCCAACCACTCTGTAGTCTTTTTTTTTAGTTTTTAAAATAACATAAGTGTTTTCATTGAACATAATGGTAATAGTTACAGGGTTAGCAGTTGCCCTGTACACCACAGCCTTGAATGAAAGGGCACCATCACATTGACTGTGCTGTTACCAGCCGTCTATAAGGGCGATACAGTTGTGAAGGACTTGTGTTCAAGCAAAGTTAACTTGCTTGCTTTTCAACTGAGCTGTCTCCAACCTGATTTCTTTTTGTTTCCAGTTGATCCAGTGGACACAGAAAGCACCAAAATGGACTCCAGTTTTAGTCTAGCAGGTCTCCCCAGCTCTCCAAAGAAGAGGATTCGAGTGGAGTGTCGGTGTGGATCAGACTCCTGTCGAAAATACCTGTTCTGACAAAGGACTGCTGAGAACACAACACTATCAGCTGTGTAAAGACGGGGAAAATTGTACAGATTTGTATATGAATTTTTATTATCTTTTGTTTTTTAAAAGCTGAAATTCACCATCAACTTTTCATATGTTAACGTGACTTGACACAATGTGATTTAAAAGCACAATCCAGAATTTCAATCTTGTGATTTACTTCAACAGAATGTAGAGTTTCTTGATTTACACTGAATTTAGGGCTGCATCAATGGATTATGTAAGATCCTTATTCCAACAATTCGAAATATCTTTCTATAAAAAAACAGATCCATGATCATGCGCAGTAGCCAATCCCTGCAGGGTGCAGTACAAGAATACTTGGCCCCTTAGCTTTGAAGTAAAATATTTTCTATGGTTGATTTCTTCAGGCTCTTAAAATGTATAAATATTCTACAAGTACATGACACAGGTATTTGCCCAATCTGTTTCATTGCAGTGATAATTCTTAATTATTAAAGGAATTCTAATTCCTTTATCTATGAACTGTCCCTACTTCTGTCACTCTTGTGGCTCTGTACAGTATCTATTCTGTGGTCAAATAGATAATTGTTTTACAGTGTGTGTGTATATAAACATTTTAGTTGTTAGTATTTCAAGGTCTGACTTTCTTATAGGCGGAGAACAAAAACAATGGCTTGATTTTGAAGTGGTTCACTTTCAAAGTATTCAACACGTTCTATCACTAGGTGGTGCATTTGACCAACTATAGCTGTCAGCCACATAATACAGGAAATGTGTGTTTCACTTCCTCCAGGACAATTGACCTATGGCTAAGCCACGCCCCCCTCCACTCACTCAGACAAACTATCAACACCGGCGCTATGGCAGGTGTCACAGTACACAGCATTTCACAGGAGGCAATTGATGTTTTTTGGGGACATAACGATCAGATGTCATTGAGAAGTAACCAAAAGGGCCTAAACTACGCATTGGAGGGATATATTCATCATTTTATTGTTGAGAAGGTCGATGAAAAGCTTAAATTACAAGCCAAAATTTACAGGTCACAGTGTACGCTTGTGAACTGTATCTTGTTGCCGTCGCCATCAAAGACAAAGTTTTAGTGCCACTGAAGTTAAGGTTTTTGGCTCAGAATATGAGAAAAGGATAACGGCCTTTTTACCATCTTTATCAAGAGTGTCTCTCCGTTAGTTTGGTGCTACAGTATTTACATTGAATCATTCAGCATAACGTTTGCCAACCTTTGTTATCTCTGCCATTACAGATAAGTTAATGAAGCTAAGCTCCAGAAGTTAATGTTAGTTTAACTGGAGCCCTTTGGACAACAGCTAACAATGATGTACGATCACCAAAGTACAAAACTAGAACAAAATAGGCTAATGAACTCCCAGCAAACAAGCTGACAATGATGAACAACACAGCTAGGAGCTAATGTTAGGCTAACTTTAGCTAACGTTAGCTAGAGATGTTAAAGATAACTTTATATTTCTTTCCAGCAAAGTGACAATATGTTGCCTCAAACACAATGTTGACTTACCTTAGAACAGATGTAGACATCATTGTTAATCTTATTCACGTTGAGTTGATGTTGTGGTCTAACGTTACCACACAACTTTATCCAAAGGAGACACTTTTCTTGGTTGAGATGTGGTTTAAAGTGTAAAAAATACACCCCGACGCCCAGCCTCTCTGCTGTAAAGCCCTGTGAGGCAAATTGTGATTTGTAATATTGGGCTTTATAAATAAAATTGATTGATTGACCATTTTTAAACTCCAAATCTCAAAAAAAAAAGCCCAGAAAACCGAACAAAACTGATTTTCTGTAATGCATTTCAATGAACGGCCATGCAGAGAATGTCCGATTATATGGGTATGGCTATACGCACTGTGATTGGCACATCGCGTTTGAGGGCGGGCTTAGCCATAGGTCAGTTGTTGGCATGTGTACTACTTTGTACAGGGTGTCAGCAGGTTCTTAAAAAGCCTTAAAATGTCTTAAATTTCCCTGGTGACAAGACGTTGATGAACCTTACTCCCTCTAATATGATGTGTCTCAAGATGATTTGTCCAATAATTAGTCATACATGTGGTTTAAAAGAATCTTAAAAGGTTCTTAAAAGCATTAAATTTAAGCAATTCATCTATAAACAATCCATCTGCTCCATGTTCACTCCATATGCTCCATATGTCAACTCCTAACACAATACTTGCTTTATAGAAGAAATGATTAGGAAATGAAAGGCAGAAAATCTCGTGACATTTTTCAGACATGTTCGGGGGGGTTGGTCCATCAGATTCTCTACCTTTTCCACTGAATTAGCGCGTGTGCGATGTTTTTTGTAAACACAGGTAAACCTACTAAAAACAGGGTACAGACTCCTTTCCCATTGCCATTACACCAGAGCCGTGAACACTGCTGTGCAGCAGATGGGTATGCCTTTCTGTGTGTTTTTGAATGTGTGGGTGTGTAATGATCAACGTTAAAGATGGGCTGAAAACTGGTTAGTAAACAGTAGAAAGCACCATGGTATGGAAAGCTTAAGGGCTCTAAACATCTATTTTGACATTCGTATTAATAAGTCATATTTGTTCGTCTTAACAGGTAAAATAATCAAGTCTCTATGCATCAAATGCGCGTTAAGAAGATGACAGAAAATTCCCTGCTAACAAGTACATTTCTGTCTTCTTAAGATGTTTAAAATTGGGTGCAACCATTTCAACAGTTTTGGAGGGGCAACTGATGAAAAAGTATTCAGTGTACATTGTATTTGCATAAGTGTCCATTAGATGGCAGAATTAAATTAGAGTACATTGGGCATAGTGTTTAGTCTTCTATTCTGAGTGTTTTACTGATATACCTTCATTCTTTCATATCATAAAATTAATGCCTCAAGTTATTTGTTTTACTGCTTTTAATAACTGATATTACTGAGGTCTGCTACTGAATTCAGCATCATGTTTCATTTGGCTGAACTCTGATTTAACAAGTCAACATTTGTAAACTGTGTCATTAAGGCAGACGAGTGTGGCGTTACACTGGTAAACATCACATTAGTCACTTTACATTAAGCTAAAATTAATACAGAATTATATAAATTGTTTGCCTCATGTATCTCTGTGTGTTCAGGGGTCATAAGAAATCATAAATCATCCTTGAGGAGTGGATGTTTACCATACGCTAGCTCGGGTTCTGTTAAATTTAACACTATACTAAATGAGCAAGGCAAGCTTCCCGCTGACACGCTTGGTTAAAAAGGAAGACAACAATGCTTTGAGATGGCTGTCAAGAGATGACAGAGGTATGTTCATATTGTACTGTCTGAGGTGTAACAGGTGCTGAGTTCCCCGTGTTTTATGTTCAAATCGATCTAGAAAAGAGGATTAGCATACCATTCCTTACCGTTGAAATAGGAAAACACTAGTTAATCAGCAGTTAATTCACGCAAGGTATCATGGGGGCTATGAAGTGGATATAAAGCTTGGTTTTCCCAGCCAGTTTTTCCCCAAAAACACTATTTTTGTGTTTAAGAGGATTTTTTTTATATAATTTATACTGGATGAAAACACACGTAGGCTGTGGTATGTTATGGCCACAGTTGCTTAAGAGGCTTCCAGAAGCTATTCACTATTCACATTAATTTTCTGTTGTCTTAACGTGCAACTGACCCGTAAAGATGAACAAATTTGACTTATTAACGCAAATGTCAAAATAGACGTGTAGTACCCTTCCACGGTCCATAGCACAGAGGCCTGTGAAAACTTTATGGTGGTCACTTTTTTATATATATATATGTATATATCTCTAAGTTATTTAGTCTCTCCAACTCCGCACAGACTAATTTGGAACAATGTTTGAGCACCTCTTGGGCAGAGACAGGCAGTATTTTGCAGCTTGCTGGCTAAGGGGCTAAAATTAGCAAGTTCACTGGGGTGTTGTGTTTCTATCAATGCCAGTCAGAGCCGGAGCTGATAAATACCCAACTAATGCAGAGTCATCTGACCTGGTTGTGAATGCCGATTTTAACCTTTCCCATTACATTAAAAGGCCAGATTAGTGGGTGTTACCATGTTTTTTGTGCAGTGGGAAAGGGGCTTCAGAGTTAGATGGCCCTGCAGAGATGAAACAGAGACAAAATAATGCGTGGTAAATGAATCTGAAGCAACTAAATCACTCCAACAGTTTTAAAAATCAGGCTATATGAGTTTGCATACCAGCCAACCTCCTACATGCTGCACTACTGTATTTACTGTATTAATTACATACATTTATTTAATACTTAATTCTAATTGGTCAATTAAGGCATTCTGCAGTATGTGATTTCTGAATAGAAGACTGCTGCTATACCATTGCTATGGACGCATGAAGCCCTACAGGGTGATTCAAGACCCCTCACTTTGTGTCAGGGTCCTGCATCTCCCGTCATGAAAAAACACTACTGAATCACTACTCATCACTACTACTAAATACCTACACAAAAACTACTGTTTCACTACTTGATTGCTATTGAGCTGTGTAGTGATTTGAATAGTAATGAGTAATGTATTGGGTGATTTCACTACTGATCACTGACAATTACTACATGATTACTACATGATGCCTATTCAAATCCCTGCACAATTGCTACTTAATCACTTCGGTCTCACTATTGGATTTTGGGAAATTACTATATAATCACTACTCATTCCTTCACATTTATTATTGAATAACTACACAATGCTTACACATTTACTGCTGTATGTCTTCACAATCCCTATGGAATTACTACATATTTCTATGTATGTAGTGTTTTATCACTACTGAATTACTTTTCATTTCTACACAAACCCTTTTGAATTATTATTGAAACTGTACATGATTATCACTTAATCACTTCTGTCTCACTATTGGCTTTTGGGAAATTATTATATAATCACTACTCATTCCTTCACATTTATTATTGAATAACTACACAATGCTTACACATTTACTGCTGTATGTCTTCACAATCCCTATGGAATTACTACATATTTCTATGTATGTAGTGTTTTATCACTACTGAATTACTTTTCATTTCTACACAAACCCTTTTGAATTATTATTGAAACTGTACATGATTATCACTTAATCACTTCTGTCTCACTATTGGCTTTTGGGAAATTATTATATAATCACTACTCATTCCTTCACATTTATTATTGAATAACTACACAATGCTTACACATTTACTGCTGTATGTCTTCACAATCCCTATGGAATTACTACATATTTCTATGTATGTAGTGTTTTATCACTACTGAATTACTTTTCATTTCTACACAAACCCTTTTGAATTATTATTGAAACTGTACATGATTATCACTTAATCACTTCTGTCTCACTATTGGCTTTTGGGAAATTATTATATAATCACTACTCATTCCTTCACATTTATTATTGAAT